AATCTGAACAAGGGGATCGAGCACACCCTCAGTAAGTTTGCAGATGACACTAAGCTGAGCAGCAGTGTTGATCTACTTGAGAGTAGGAAGTCTGGGCCCAAAGAGTTGTGAATGGAGTTAAATCCAGTTGGCAGCTGGTCACGAGTGGTGTTCCCCAGGGCTCACTACTGGAGCCAGTTCTCTTTAATTTCTTCATCAACAATCTGAACAAGGGGATCGAGCACACCCTCAGTAAGTTTGCAGATGACACTAAGCTGAGCAGCAGTGTTGATCTACTTGAGAGTAGGAAGTCTCTGCAGAGGGACCTGGACAGGCTGGATTGATGGGCTGAGGCCAGCTGTATGAGGTTCAACAAGGCCACTGCACTTGGGTTACAACAACCCCCTGCAGTGCTACAGGCTTGGGGACGAGTGGCTGGGAAGCTGCCTGGCGGAAAAGGGCCTGGGGGTGTTGGTCAACAGCAGCTGAATGTGTCAGCAGTGTGTGCAGGTGGCCAAGAAGGCCAATGCCATCCTGGCCTGCATCAGGGACAGTGTGGTCAGAAGGACTAGGGAAGTGATTGTCCCCAAGTACGCAGCACTGGTGAGGCCGCACCTTGAATGCCATGTTCAGTTTTGGGCCCCTCACTACAAGAAGGACATGGAGGTGTTGAAACATGTCCAGAGAAGGGCAACGGAGCTGGGGAAGGGCCTGGAGCACAAGTCCTTTGAGGGGTGGCTGAAGGAGCTGGGGTTGTTCAGCCTGGAGAAGAGGAGTCTGAGGGGAGACCTTACTGCTCTCTACAGTTACCAGAGAGGAGGGTGGTGGTCTCTTCTCCCAAGTGACAAGTGATAGGACAAGAGGAAACGGCCTCAAGTTGCCCCAGGGGAGGTTTAGATTGGATATTAGGAAAAATTTCTTCACCAAAAGGGCTGTCAGACATTGGCAGAGGCTGCCCCGGGGAGGTGGTTGAGTCACCATCCCTGGAGGTGTTTAAGAGACCTGAGGATGTGGTGCTCAGGGACCTGGTTTAGTGGTGGACTCAGCAGTGCTGGGTTAGGGTTGGACTTGATGATCTTAAAGGTGTTTTCCGACCTAAATGGTTCTGTGATTCTAAAAGCTCAGCAGAACCAATCAGTCAAAAGAAGGGATTATCCCACTGTATTCAGCACTGCTGCGGCCTCACCTTGAGTGCTCTGTGCAGTTCTGGGCCCCACAATTTAAGAAGGATGCAAAGTCCTTGAATGTGTTCAGTGGAAGGCAACAAAGTTGGCAACAGGGCTGGAAGGCATGTCCTGTGAGGAGCGGCTAAGGACTCTGGGTTTGTCTAGTTTGACAGAAAGGAGGCTGAGGGGCAGCCTCATTGCTTCCTGAGGAAGAGGAAAGGGAGGTGCTGAGCTCTTCTCCCAGGTATCCAGTGATGGGACACATGCAAGTGGTTTAAGGCTGCACCAAGGGAGGTTCAGACTGGACATGAGGAATCATTTCTTTACTGAGCGGGTGGTCAAACACTGGAACAGGTTTCCTAGAGAGGTAGTCGATGCCCCGAGCCTGTCAGTGTTGAAGAGGCATTTGGACAATGCCCTTAACAATGTGCTTCAGTGGCAGCCCTGAGGTGGTCAGGCAGTTGGACTAGATGATCGTTGTAGGCCCCTTCCAAGTGAAATACTCTATTCTGTATCTCGGTGAAGCCATGGGTAGGTGTTGCCCATGGAAACACGTACAGGGGGTACCAGATGAAGTACTTGGAAGATTGCTGTATGCTGCAGTCAGTAATACTAGGACTTGAAAACTGTGTATGGCTGTGTGGTAATGCTTCGGTGAGTTCAAGTCAGGCCTTAACATTTGTACAGCTTTGGTATAAACAACTGTCAGGGCAACAAGAACTAGTGAATGCATTTCCCAGATTTTTCTGTGCTAGGCCTGAACAGTGTCAAAGTGACAGTGAAGTGAGGCATTGCAAGAATGCCTGTTGGTGTAACAGGTCATTGTAGTGCTGTTTGTTTGGGTACCTTCAGCTGGTGAGTTTCATTAATGCATTGGCTAAAATGATCTGTTCCTGCCCAGCGTTTGGCTTCCCCTTCCACTGACTGGTCTACCTTGACTTCAGCAAAGCTTTGGACACAGTCTCCCATGGCATCCTCATAGACAAGCATAGGAAGTATGGACACATACTTAGGAAGTATGGACTGGACCATTGGACGGTGAGGTGGATTGGGAACTGGCTGGAGGAAATAGCTCAGAGAGTTGTGATCATTGGGGCATAGTCTAGTTGGAGGCCTGTGGCTAGTGGTGTCCCCCAGGGGTCAGTCCAGCCCTATTCAATATATTCATCAATGACCTGGAGG